ATCAGAGAAATGTACATCACACCCACGGTGAGTTCCCAGCTTCCATCTGTTAGGATGGTGACATGAGAAAGACACATGATGACACATGCTGGCAGGGCCATGGGGGCAGGAGTGTGTGTAGACTGTTGTGGGAATGGAATTGGTGCAGCCACCATGGAAACCAATGTGGAGAACCTTAAGGCAACTAAAAATAGAACTACTGTATGACCCAGCAGGCCCTCTGCTGGATCTATGCTCAAAGGAAATGGTGTCACCAACTGAAAAGATGGTGCACTCCCATGATCCCTGTAAAACTGTTCACAGTGCCTATGAGGAAACAGCCAAGTCTCCATTAATAGTAACTGGACAAAGGAATAGGCCCTTTCTGCAGGTCAAAGACAGAAAAAGGCACAGTTAGGAGGCCATTGCCAGCACCCAGGTGGGCCTGGTGGGTTCCTTGGTGCAGGGTAATTAAAGTGTGGGGAGTAGGGAGGGGTGCATTTTGGAGATGGATGTGAACAACCTGCTGTGGTTAGGTCAAGGGATGTGAGAGAAGGAGTCTCAAGATGACTCTGAGATCTTGCTTTGAGAAGCCAGAAGGATGGAGTTGCCATTTGTCCTGAGAGAGAGGACTGTGGGGAGAGTGACCTTGGGGAGGAGATGTGGCATGTGGCTCCAGATGTTGGGGCTCACCATGTGCATTAGACTGACAGAGTGTTGCCCAGTAGCCCACAGAGTGTTTGAGGCTGGGGTTCAGAGGTGAGGTCTGCCCTGGGGACTGAGCTCTGATGACCACTGCAGTGAGGGATGCACAGAGCAGAGGCCTAGGACCTGAGTTATGGGACAGGTAGAGAGGGAGGACCAGGAAGGTGACTGGGAAGGGGCAGAGAGAGGGGGAGCAGCAGGAGAGAGTGATGTCCTGAGGCTCAGGAAGAAAGTGCCTGGAGGAGGAGGGTGTTCTGAGGTGCTAAGTGACATTGGTGAGTCTAGCAGGATGAGGATTGGTGAGGCCACTGGACTGGGCAGTGTGGATGTCTCAGGTGATACTGAGCAGCAGTTTCAGTGGCACCATGGGGTAGCACCTTGAATGGGGAAGCCTGAAACAGCTGAGTACAAGTTTTGAGCATTGTGACCAAGAACAGCTTTATGGTGAATCTCAGAGTTAGGCATGCTGAGGGCGATGTCAGGTGAAGAGTTTTTTTCACTGATAGAGGCTCTTAGCACCGAGTCTTGACTCCTCTGTGTGAAGGTCCATCATTCCTGCTGGGTCTGGTTCTGGTTCTGATGCTGCTCAGTCTCTTCACAGGGCTCCTTGGACTTTCAGGACCTCACACTGTTTTCCTGACAGCAGAACATGACCCACTGGGTCAGAGGGGCTGCTGGGAACAGCCTCTGATACTGTGGTGTTAAAGAGAGCAAATGCTCCCTGGTCCTGTGACTTGGTCTCTGTCCTTTTCTGTGTGCTGGGATTGAGTCCAGGGCTCCCACATGCTGGGCAGTGCTGCTCCTCTGAGCTCCACCCCTGGGCTAGTCTTTTCCTGATCCTTTTGAAGAAGAGCAACATGCTCTGGCACATTTCAGAATTGGCGCTTTCCCTCTCCCCTGCTGAATCATGGGGCTGTTTCTGTGACTT